GTCGCTATTGCACAGCGATTGCTTTCGCCTGGCTGCGTCGCCGTGCGGGCGCGTGCCCGTAGTCTGTCCTCCTTACCGCTGGTTCTCCGGCATTGCGGTTGTTCACCGGGAGGAGGTGGGTCGTCCCCTCCTCGCACAGCTAATGGTGGTGAGGCCACCCTCGCCTCGTAATACTCACTTGTGGTTCACAGGCAACGAGCGGCTGGGAGAATTATGACGGCCGTCATTACTTAGTGTGTGCCGGACACCGCCGAGGTATATAGATAATCGTCGTTACGTGATTGACACGCATTACTAAAATGCGGATTTGCGGGCTATTTCGTCGAGTACGGAAGATTAGCGTCTTAATACCCGCAGCCCCGGAGTCTGCAAACGGGTAATTCTCGATACTAAATCGTGCGCCGAGGATTTTAGATTCGGATTCCGCGCGCGACAGTGGCTAGTGTTTAAGAGTTGAGTTCTTAGTGGCTAGGCGTTAATGTTCCCTTTTCGCGTTATGGTATTGTTGCTTGCTCGCGTCAAAAAGAAAATAGTTTCACGCGCTCCGGTTCTCCAGGGCATGCTACAGAAACTAACTAAATATCTATCCTTCTACAGCAGCGATTGTTGAAATATAACGTGCCACACGCACCTGAACATGACGCAGCCCGCCGCCTCTACGTGGTGGATTCCATATTACGCGGAACGTCGGTCTTAGCGTTGTTGTTTTTGTTAACTACTGCCTCTTGCAGAGCTTCGAGTGTTTGCTGTTGCTGTCATCTCAGAAGCTGGTGGGCAAAAATGCAAAGTACGAATCATAAACCGTATAGTAGACAGTTAAGTAACTACATATGTGCTAATTTTCATAGTTTTGGCCAAAAAATGCAACAAATTATATCCTCGGCTCTCTGTACTAAAGTGTTGCTCTCGGCTGTTACGGCGTTAGTTCTTTTGTTCTCATCGCCCTGCACAGAATTATTGCTACAACGGATCTTCTATACACTTGCTGAAACTTAAATAAATGCCACTTACCTCATTGCAACACATCATGATTAATTAACACAGAATTAATTTGATTCCCTTTTAATTCGTTTAGTCGGGCTTAGCAGCCTTTGCGATAGTTAGATAAAGCTCTCTATATGGCAGTCGTTGCTAACCAGCCTAATTGAACCCATAACGTGCCTAGTTTGTCTGTAATTTTGCAGACGATATGAAATACGTTTATAATATTTGTCCCTCAATCATCCGGGCCATTTTTAGTCAATCTAGTCTCAGAAATTGTTGTTAAACTCATTTTTGAAATCACTACATATATATTCGATATATATATATATAATATAATATACGCTTTTCGCTCTTGAAACGCAAAACGCATTACTGCTATTCCTAGCTAGCTAACGACTTGTATTTTGCATATGTAAGTTAGAGGCGATATCCGCAATGCCCGCACGAGGAAAGTACGGCGATTTGCCACGAGCAGGCTATGCGCAGTCAGCACATCGCACTGGCCAATACTGACAGCAATCCGGACTGAGCAGACCAGCGAACGAAACCCGTCACTCTGGATCGTCTGACAGATCATACCTGAAATTGTCCGGCTGCCTTACTGGCTTGGCCATCTTAAGTAGCTGCGAGAGCCAACGCCAGTAATTGGTCGCCCCTTGCGGCGCTGGCGTGGTCTAGTGAGACGAGCTGGCCAAGACAAACAGAATATCTTGTTACATAAACGCATACGATATGATCGATATAGATGGGAGTAATGTCCCACGCACATCAGCGTCTATCTTCGTTTAGTCTTATTCAAAAGATGCCATAAGCATACGAGGCCTCGATAATCGTAACTCTTAATATCGATAAAACATAAATGGGTCGCTCAGTAAGGACTGCGAACTACGTATAAAGACTACAGACTATGAAACGCGATAAGACGCGTTCAGCGTGTAATGATGCTCTGCAGGTTTTGCATGCGACTGTTACGTGTTATATGCGGGTCTAGCCCGCAGGCACCAGACCTGGTCTCCTATGATCAGCTTTGAAACATTGTTAGCCAAGCGAAATCAACAGAAACAATACTAATGACATTCTTAGTCGGGGCGTCGCGATGATTGCTAATTAGGCTATTTAATCAGATCAGCAGCAGATGCTGACGGCCAGAGTTGTCACTCGTACTATCGAATCAATTACTTACACGCGTGCAGCCTATCCGAGTAAGGGGGGGGGGGGGGGGGGGGGGGAGGGGGGGGGGGGGGGTGCAGCCGTCTTCACTATGACACTGGCATTCACTGTACCGTGTGTTGCGC